GTGTACACCATATCCGAAACGAAAATCGCTCTGAGTCCATACGACGATAAGCGATACGTCGTACTGGACTCGACGGAGACGTTACCATGGGGGCATTAGCGGACATCTTTGTAATATATGTATCATACGTTTTATATGTATTGTAGTATATTGCTATCATGTATTACTATCATTGTAATTTACATTTCATGTATCACATATATTTTACATTTATATGTATTACTATTGTGGGATGCGATGCGATTTGGCGCTTTTCAAGTCGTGCGTGAGCGAGTAGCGAACTTAGTAGAGGCGACATGTAGGCAAGAGGGCGCGGCGCGAGCGTAGAGTCAGTCCGTCCGGCGACACGCTAAGAAAAGCAAGCGAGCGTTTGTCTCTTCAAGTTTATATTTCTCTTATATATACCCATATTAATACACATATTCACTATCCCTTGTGTTAACCATTTTATTCACATACCTACACAATTATTTTTAAGTATTATTTTAATGTATAATACTTCATGTACATTTTATATATTTATATACGCATTAATATTATTTTTATGTATTAATATTATTTTTTATGTATTACTATCATTATAATTTACACTTCATGTATGTTTTTTTTAACATTTTTATATTTTCGTACAGTGTATATGTATTTTTAAATATTGTATTATACACTACGCAAAAAAATTAAAGGATAACTTAGTCCACCCCCAAAAATAGGTAAAAATTCAGAAGAGTGTAACTTCGTAAAAAATAATTATAACGAAATTTTTAAAAAAGCATTTTAAAGCATGAAATTTCTACTTTCGAAATCAGTAATTGATATTTCGATTTGATTGATTTTTTACGTAGCTATACGAACAGATATCCGTCAAATCTGAAAATTTTGTACAAATTTTACAAAAGTCTATGGCATGAACTAAAAATCGCACACAAATGCGGTTTTAAACAGTTGAAAGAGTTGACATTGAAGCAAAAATGACCCTTTTTATTGAATGTCGAATAATTCGTCGAAAAAAATCGTACAACGCTCAATAAAAAAGCAAATTGAAGGTAAAGATTCACTTTTTCGAATGTTTAAAACCGCATTTGTGTGCGATTTTTAGTTTATGCCATAAACTTTTGTAAAATTTGTACAAAATTTTCAGATTTGACGGATGTCCACTTCT